ATTCAACTGAAAGCCTGAAGTGAGGGAGCCCAGGTGAGACAGTCACAAAGCAACCTCCTAGGACATACAGCAAGATGGAGAAGATCGAGAGGCACAAATGGAGAAGAGCCCACATGACATTTTGGTGGAATGTAGGGTAGGGGGCCATGGGGAAGAGGCTGTATCAAAATTCCTGCCGCAGTTTGAGTAATTAATTGCCTCCAGACATTCATTGAGCACTTGCTCTATTAGGTGCTGGTGACTTCGTCCCTGAGGGGCTCCTAAGCCAGCGCACAATTGTGGTTATAATGGCAGATGATGGAGGCTGCGGGACAAGGGGCAACAAAAGACAGCTCCGCCTGAGAGTGTTAGTGACAGCTTCCCAGGGGGGAGGGGGTGGACGGATGGGTGGACGGATGGATGGACGGATGGATGGATTGAAGTACAGTTTATTTACAATGTTGTGTTAGTTTCAGGTGTACAGCAAAGTGATTTAGTTATACATATAGGTATCTATTCTTTTTCAGGTTCTTTTCCCTTATAGGTTATTACAAGATATACAGTGTATAGTTCCCTGTGCTATACAGTAGGTCCTTGTTGGTTATCTGTTGTATATACAGTAGTGTGTATGTGTTAATCCCAAACTTTTGAGCTGGATATTGCATTTGTGCAGATCACCAGGTGGAGGAGAGGGGTCTCTCTACACAGAGAACAGCGTGGGCAGGGATGCAAGGTGCCATCAGGGTATGACAGCAAAGGCTTGAAGTTGGGAAGGAGGATGGGACAGAATCCGACACCAGGGCTTCAGGAGCCAGACTGAAGAGTTGGGATATTATCCTTTGAATGGGCAAGTGGGACTTAACAGAGGCTTATAAAGGATGTGACATCTTACAAAGGATGAGCTTATGCAGAATGCATTCCTTAACACCTCTTTTCTTGGTACACTCTCCTTTTCCCTCTCATTTCCCTCTTTACTTCTATGCCCCATCCACTACATTTTTTTTTTTTTTATTGTTGTTTTTGTTTCTGGTAGCTGAAACCTCCAGGGTGAAGGGATTAGTTAGGATGGATTCAGTGTAGGGAAAAGAAAAAGAAACATTCCAGGTTTAAAAATAATTCCCACTTTAGTTGCCAGTAGGAGTTTAATTTGAGGGTAATGGAAATATTGGGGATACCAACACAGAAATTAAAATACTGAATGAGCCAATGCTTAGTGGTCGACCACAATAAACTAAAAATGAGATGCGACTCCGTGACAATTTGAAAAGTCTTGAAATATGCTCTGTATACCCTGGCGTCTGTTATTGTAGGCTGAGACACAGCAAGAACTGAACAAATGAAAATACAAACACATACTCTCACATTACTTTTCTGCACATTGATCCGCAAAGAGAAAACTCTCCAAGACTTTGCGGAGAAAGTCCTTTACCTAATTATTCAAACAGTCATTTCTTATCTGCACTTTTATTTTATATACACTTTACACCTGTTTAATTAATCCTACACATGATGCTGACTGCTAATTAAACAGCCCTGAAAGTGACTGACTGAAGGTAGTAATTTGAGATAATTAGTTTTGGTTTCAAACACTAGATTTTCACACTTTGTGCTCATTTTTAGAAAAGGGTGGCTCATTATTATAGGCAGGGTGGGTGCCGTGTAGGGCATTTTCCTGCTGGACTCTGGGCAGCTGAGGAAGTAGGAGGATTATTATACATCCAAATAGGACAAGGAAATGGTAGAGTGCCGTAGAATTTGCTAGAGAATGCTCCCCATCCCCTCCTACACACACACACACACACACACACACACACACACACACACACACACACACACACACACACACACACACACACACACACACACACACACAGAATCCCTTCCAAAATGAAGGTCACGGGCTTCCCTGGTGGCACAGTGGTTGAGAGTCCACCTGCCGATGCAGGGAACACGGGTTCGTGCCCCGGTCTGGGAAGATCCCACATGCCGCGGAGCGGCTGGGCCCGTGAGCCATGGCCGCTGGGCCTGCGCGTCCGGAGCCTGTGCTCCGCAACGGGAGAGGCCACAGCAGTGAGAAGCCCGCGTACCGCAAAAAAACCCAACCAAACAAACAAAATGAAGGTCAGGCTCATGGATCTTTTTCATTAGAACATAGAAATGAACATGCTCTTGATCTCTGGGAAAGCTTTACCTAGTAAAGTGTAGACCTCACTGAATCATCCATTGTCTCTTTCCCCGGTCCTCTAGAAGCAAGCAAGAAAAGGTAGAAAAAATTCAAGATTTTGTGTGTGGTTAGAGATTTGGACGGGTGTCCTTGCTAAGTAGTTATCTGCTACAAAGACACAAAGCCTAATCAAGGGGACAGTCTATCAAGAGATGGCTGGTGTATCTGGCAGAGAAAGCGAAAGGGCAAAAAGGAGGCAGGTCAGGACTAGTTTTCATGATCCCACAATGTTAACAGGCAAGTTATTTTGGTCCTACCGGAAGAATTGGGTGTGAAATAGGCTAAATCATTTTTTGTAGGCCATATAGATAGACACAGGTTACACAGAAGCGGAACAAATCCTGCAGCACCCTGGAGAGCTCCAAGCACATTCTTTTACTTCTCTTCCCGGGACAAGGAGGCTTTCATGTCTTAGGATGTTCAATGTCACTTCACTGGCTACCAATACGGAGTAGGACTCTCTAGACCTAAGAAAGGTTTGGATACAGATGTTGAGGGTTTATAAAGGTGTCAAGAGGAGAGTCAAAACCTCCTTGTGACTTGGGAATCATCTGGCCAGGGAGTGATAAGTGATGGTTGGATCCCAGAGTGTGTAGCCCTGTGCGGGAAGATGGAACGGCAGCTTCTTTGACATCAGAGCACTGACATTAGCTGCAGGATCTGATGGAGAGCAGAATTAATGGTTTTATGTACAAGTCAAACCTGCATCTTCAACCAAGCAACCTGAGTTAGTGCATCGTGGAATCATTTTGACCTCTGAACTTTCACACCACAGCAAGGCAGCAGAGGAGTAATGAGATGCACGTCTCTTAAACCCCAGATCCCACCGTATTATTGCCCACTTTTTAGTTGTTTTCATTCATCTCACAGGAACCTCAAAAGAAACAAGTCAAAAATTGAACACATCATTTTTGTCTTCCAGAATCTCCTCTTGTTTTTCTGTCTTGGTAAATAGCAAACATCGTCTACTCAGATACCAGAGCCATAGAACTGAGAGTCATTACGCATTCTTCTTACACCTTTCCTTGTCTTTTAGATACTTACAGGTTCTACACCCTTCCTTTCTTCCACCTGCCACTGCCTTATTTCAGCTTTTATACTTTCTTACATAGATTTCTGTAGTAGTTTTCTAACTGGTTGTCCTGCATCTAGTGTGGTTTCCCTTTAATTCAGTTTATCTCTAAGCATAGCATGGGTCCACCTGCATCGGATTCTTCTGGAGGGCATATTAAAATGCAGATTCCTAGGTCTCTAGACATACTAAGTCAGAATCTTTGGGAATGGGGCTGCCCAGGTGGACACTGAAATTTGAGGGTTGCTACTCTCCCCCACTGCTGCCAATGTGATCTTTCTAAAACAAAAATTTGATTGTGTCATTTCCTTGGTTACAATCGTGCTGTGCTTCCCCACGGCCTTGGTAATAAAATCCACACTCCTTGTCATACCCGACTAGCCCTTCATCCTCTGGTTTCTGTCTAGCTTTGCAGTTTTCCTTCCTGACATTCCTCCCTTGGTATCCTGCATTCCCACCATGTGAAATGCTGCAATGCCATACCATGCCCTTTCTTTTCTTTCTTTTTTTTTTTTGATGTGGACCATTTTTAACGTCTTTATTGAATTTGTTACAATATTGCTTCTGTTTTATGTTTTGGCTTTTTGGCTGCAAGGCATGTGGGATCTTAGCTCTCCCACCGGGGATTGAACCCTCACCCCCTGCATTGGAAGGAGAAGTCTTAACCACTGGACTGCCAGGGAAGTCCCACCATGCCCTTTCTTGACTCTATGGCCTTGGACATGCAGTTTCGTGTGGCTGAAACGTCCTTCCTGGCCTATATGCCAGATTTCCTGCATCTTCTGTGCTCCGTCTAGCCTGCATGTCCTTCTGCCATACTTCTTTAACATCCCTGTATTCTTCTCTCCTAGCACTTTTCACTGGTAGAGTAAGAGTTTTCACTTGTTTATATGAGTGAATATTGCATTTCAAACATTTTTAGGGGTAGATTTATGGCATGCAGTTAATTTGTTTCTCAGCTTGAATTTATTTAAGAGAAATGACATACGATCTCTAATTTTGAATATCTTCTAGCAATTCACCCTTTTTATGTCAGAAAATAGTCTCTTTTCCTAAAGCAATTGTGGTATGGATTCCTGTTTTGTGATTTTTTTTTTTGAGGGTTGGAAGGCTGGAAAGATGTTATAATTAAAAGATACATGGTTAGCTATTCCCAAATCTTATTGTGGTATGTAGTGATTATATCAATAAGCAGTGGCTAGACTTGCAAAACTATATATTTAAAATACTTTACCAAAAATATAATCTTAAGACTGAAATGGTATCAAGCGTAAAAATAGCCTCATGTTAAATTCTCTGTTCATTATTATGTAGCCTTTATGTCCTAAAGCCAAAGATGATTTCAGAGGTGACTTTTTCTGAAGCATGTATGTACATTTCATGTTCATTTCTGCCTCATTTCCACGCCAGAACTTATCATGTACAGAATAAAAAAGCAACAAAAACAAAAAGCACAAATGCTTTGCTTTGGCTTCTGAAACAATGGGACCTGAACCCAAACTAAATTCTGTCTTACTGTTTAGAAATGTGCTTTGAAAGAAAGCGAGTCCACAGACCCTTATAAAATACGTTCTAATTAAATTGGTGGTCATGAAACCATATTTTGGCTGCAGGCTGATCTGTCTAGGTTTCTGATATAGCTTTGGCTATTTAGTCTCTTGTGTGACAATCCATCATTTGACAGCATTCCTCATGGGTTGAAATGACCTGTCATTTGTTTCGCAGATACCTCAAATCAGCTATGCATCCACAGCCCCAGAGCTAAGTGATAACACCAGGTATGACTTCTTCTCTCGGGTGGTCCCCCCTGACTCCTACCAAGCGCAAGCCATGGTGGACATTGTGACGGCACTGGGGTGGAATTATGTGTCAACATTGGCTTCTGAGGGCAACTACGGAGAGAGCGGTGTGGAGGCCTTCACTCAGATCTCGCGGGAGATTGGTAAGCGTATTATTTATCAGATTATTGCATTTGGAGATGACAGGTTGCAGAAGTCTGAGCACCCCCAAGAGCGCTCTGATCTGTTTGGGATAATTAGAGCTCCTAGAGATACGTGACCCAGGCTGTCCACTCTAGGGGGAAGCTGGGTTTATTATAAATGATTTTGTTGTTCTTGGTCTATCAAGGTGACACTTTGGTGCTAATTTAGGAATTAGAGCTCCTGACTCAGGCGAACATTTTTTAAAGCTGTCTTTTTTGACGAGGGACTTTGCTGGCACATTAGAGCCACTGTAAATTTGAATAAATGACATACTATTTGATTGTTCTAGATGGAGGTTTACATTAGCAAGTCATTAAATTTTTTTAAAAAGGCAGTGGAATTTAACATCCAACACTAGAGGGAATTAAGACTGGTAATCATCTTAAAACAGTACTGAAGTAGCCCCCAAGGCTATACATAAGCGATATTTTTATTCTCATATTTCACTTTTTGAATTTTTATTCTTACCTCAAACTCTGAAGCTTACAGTGGGATTAAAGGGAAAGATGTGAAAACTTGGTTAAAACAGGGTGCTCGTGAACTCTGTCCCGGGTTTTTTCAAGGTTCTCATCCAAATCTCTGTAGGTGTTTTACTACGTGTATATTTAACCATGAGGCTTACACTGCGTGGAAAAACCAGAAAACAAAAACAACTTAGGGCACAAATATTATTGCTGACTGGCCAACAATATAACTTTGTGGATGAAAGGAGACATGTTACCATTACTTAACAAATGCTATTGTTCTTACTAAGAATTACTGAATAAAATTTGCATATTTTTCTATAAAAGTAATAACAATGTTTTGTCGAAAATTTAACGTGCCCTTTAGCTGTTTTTGAGTAATTTTGAACTTGCAGGAAATTATATTGATAATTTATTGTTTTTCTTAGAAGCTTCAGTGCAGGAAAAGACCATGGGAGTGATTTGGGCTTATTCCCTAATTAGCAAAGACCAAGTTATTGGAATAAGGTTTTCTCTTGAAACACTTGAAGATGCCTGCGATCTGTTCTTCTGCATATAACAGAACATGGAAACTTATTATACATAATATTTGGTGTGTTTAACATTTGTTCCAGTGCTGTGCTGTTACAGAAAATGTAGAAAAGACCTGGTTTTGTTGGAAAGATTGGCTTAATTTATTTAAGGGACAACTATTCATTCCTGTTGTAAATATCCACGATGCCATAACCTGTGCTGTTTGGAATTTTAATTTATATCACTACTGCTATAAAGATGATTCAAAACATGCAATTGAACTTTAAATGAGGGTAAATTACATTACCTTCTTGGAAAAGAATCCCAAGTTTATCCTTAGGAGAAATGCCCACTCAAATGAAAACAATAGCTTCTGAAAGCAGGGTTAATGCATTATTTAAGTTCTCACCAAAGTGGTAATTAGGTTTGGGTTCTCACCAAAGTGGTAATTCAACGACAGAAGGAAACTAATAGAGTATGTACTGAAATGAGAAGTTTTCTGCAGTGATCCTGTACATTCTCAACTATAGGGCACATTTTGTGTGCACGAAACAGATTACTATGAAATATTCAGTACAAGACATGATTTGCCAGTTGTTGAAGCATCTGATAAAATGCATTGTTCTAGAAGTTAAGTGAGATCGCAGTTTTACTCTTCTTACTAAAAAAGAAATATTTTGTTTTCACTTTTAAGGAGCATTGCTCTTCTTAGGTAACTGTCACCTAAAAGGATTCAGACGGTACCATTAATTATTGCTGTCTCTATCTTAGTCATTAGTACGGGAGAAAATAATTTTAGTGCCTTGTGTGGGATGCTCTTGATAGAGCAACATGTTTCTTCTGTGTTGATCCTTTCAGTATTCTGTGACGTGATTGGCTTTCCATTCTATTTCAGTTCTCACTTATCTGGGGAATGGAGGAGGGCTGGGTTGTCAATTAATATGCAGAATACTGAAAAGGCCAAATTAGTACCACACTAGAGTATGCCATGGAATATATTAAATATCAAAATCATCCCTCATTTTAATGACAAAGATTTTATCCAGAACAAAAATAGCTGAAAATGAAACCTTTTACATGACAATGATATTAATGGGAATGGCATAGGGTAGCAACTTAACCCATTCTGAAATGATCTGATGCCTCTAATGAAAATTCATTAGTTCTATAACATTTGCTCCTCTTACTACGACGTTGATGACATCTCTGTCATTGTGTTACTAGTGTTTTTAAAAATCTTAGCCTCTTGACTGAGAAGGAGATGTATACATTCATTTTTTGGAGTGTCTGCCTATTAATGAAATTGTATATTTTCCCGATTCTTCTAAATTTTCCTGTACTCTGTTCAGGATTTCTCTCTTCAAGAACGTTGATTGCCAAGAAATTTCAGTGTAAATTGAGGCTTCCTATGTTTTGTCTCTGATTAATTCTGACAGATCATAATGGAATGATAGTGAAAGGAAAATCTGTTTAGTGATACAATGCCTGTACGGTTTGTTTAGAACGTTTTTCATTTTAACAAAATCTGAGACTTGGGGAAGTGTCCTTCGTGAGTCTTAGAGAACGAAGTTTATGAGTGAATGATGGTCATGAACACAGATGCCCGTGATGTCTCTTCTCTGGTCAGGATCCTTCTCAGGGAGAGAGGGACAGGAATTATTTGATAAAATAAGACAAATAGCCTCTTGATATCCTAGCTGTTATAATCTCAGCCCCTTGACTATAGCATTTTTATTGCAGAAGTCCAAAGAAAAATATTTGGGATCAACAAGTAGCACAATTTGACTGGATCATAGTTTGTGTAGTGAGGTATGGAAGACAAAACTGGAAGGCTTTGTGGCAAGGACACATAGGTGAGCACTTTACCTCATAGGATAGTAATTTTATCCTTTATTTTCTAGACAGTGGAGGAAACTACCGAGGAGAGAGGGGTCTACTAGGATATGTATTTAAGACTTTGCTAATGAGAAGTGAAAGATGGGGAGACCAGTTGAGCGGCCTCTATAGTATCAGTCTTAGCCTCACATGGGGTAGTGGTAATAGAAGTGGAAGAGGGAACAGACTTGAGAGGCACTTGGAGGTGGAGTCTTTGGAACTTAGCAATTGATTGGAATTAGAGCTCGGAGGTAAGAAAAAAATTAAGCTTGAAATTCTGAAACCGGGCAATTGGGAAAATGCAAGTGCCAAGAATAGAAAAGAGACAGTGAAGTGGAAAGGTTGGTTTGGGGTGGGAAGCATAGTTTGGTTATGAACCCAAGAAACTGTGAGTACTGGTACATACCTTTGTGGAGAAGAGCGACAAAGAACATTGATCTAAAGCCAAGGCAGGAATTGAGCTATAGATCTGAAGCTCATTCAGATTGATAATTGAGGTGGGAAGGGTAATTGCTGAGGTAAAACATGTAGTAGAGTGTGAATTAAAGGGGGTGGAAGATACACTCTTGGGGAGAAGCTTTACATAAAGGTATGGGATGACAAGCATTGGCGAGGATGTAAAGGAAAGGGAAGCCTTGCACACAGTTGATAGGAGTATAAATTGGTACAGTCATTATGGAAGATAATATGGAGTTTCCTCAAAAATTAAAAGCTGAACTACCACATGATCCAGTGATTCCACTTCTAAGTATATGTCCAAAGAAAATGAAATCAATATCTTGAAGAGATATCTGCCCTCTTGTGTTCATTGTAGCATTATTTACAATAACCAAGATATGGAAACAAACTGAGTGTCCGTTGATGGATGAATGGATAAAGAAAATATATGTAAAATGGGATATTATTTAGCCTTAAAAAAGAAGGAAATCCTGCCACTTGTGACAACATGGATGAACCTGGAGGACATTATGCTAAGTGAAATAAACTAGACACAGAAAGATAAATACTGCATGCTGTCACTTATATGTGCTCTCACTTATAGGTAGAATTTTAAAAAGTCAAACTCATGAAAGCAGAGTGTAGAATGGTGGTTGCTAGGAGCTGGTGGGGGATGGTAGGAGAAATGGGAAGACGTTAGCCAAAGGAAATCAACTTTCAGTTAAACAGGATGAATAAATTCTGAAGATCTAATGTACAGAATGGTAACTATAGTTAGTAATACTGTATTGTATACTTGAAATTTGCTAAGAGTTGATCTCAAGTTTTCTCACCACACACACACACACACACACACACACACACACACACACACACACAAAACTATGTGAGATGATGGAGATGTGAATCAGCTTGATTGTGGGTAATTATTTCACAGTGTGTACAGATATCAGAACATCATGTTGTACACCTTAAATATATACAAGTTTTATTTGTCAATTATACCCCAAAAAAGCTGGAAAAATAAAATTAGTATAAATGGAAAAAAATGAAGATTTGGGAATAATGGGCTAGATTTAGTAAGGGAAAGCTAAGAATAGGGCAGGGTGTTCTCTTTTCTCTTCTCTTGATGGGTTTGTGGCCATGGGAGGGCTCTCAGTCTTCTTTGAAGTTTTCCATGACAGGCGATGGTAGGAGTTCTTGATGAAAAAGTCAAGGTTATTGAGCAGATATTCATAAGAGAGCAGGAACTTTGCCAGAGGGCACAGCTGAAAGTGTGTGGTACAGTGGCAGAGAATCAAGGAATGTCCCTGAGAGCGGGTATATTAGGGCTGCCATAACAAAACACCACGAACTGGGTGGCTGAAAGCAACAGAAACATAATGTCTCACAGTTCTGGAGGCTAGAAATGTGAAATCAAGGTGTCGGCAGAGCCATGCTGATTCTGAAACCTGTAGGGGAGAATCCTTTCCTGCCTCGGTAGCTTCTGGTATTTGCTGGTGATCATTTGTGTTCATTAGCTTCATCTGTCAACCCAGTCTCTGCGTCCATCATCACGTTGCTGTCTTTTCCCTTCTTGTTTCTGTCTCTGTCTTCTCTTCTTATAAGAGTGCCAGTCATATTGGATTAAAGGCCCCACCCTACTCCAGTATGACCTCATCTTAACTAAT